CGCCGGCCTTAAAAGTTATTAAAGTGTTCATACTCCTTGAATTTGTAATCTTGGCTACTTAGGTTTTTTAAGCTGTGCGTGAAAAGAGCCTGACAGGCTTTGATGCCAGTAAAGTAGGTTGTATACATAATGCATGTCAATTCTTGTTTTGCTTCTCGATCTGGAACAGATTTAATCTTGCACTGACCTTCCTTAAAGAAATACATGGTTGCTGACATTGTGAAGCACCGAATTACTCTGAGCATATTGAATATAGAAAACAGGAACTTTTCTTTTGCTTAAAGTGTGGCTAATATTGGACCTGGCTAAGAGATCCAAAATGTTCATGTTCACATGAATCTGAATTATTCTTTTGGCCACATAACCACCCCTTTGCCTTCTCTCCCCTATTTTACATGAGAGAAGAAAGGGGTATCTTCTGAATTAAAAAAGATGGTTTTGAAGTTACCTCAAAATCCTGTGAACCATGGTTTTCTCATTTGGGAAAATAGGAAATTACATTTAGTGCAAGATCTCTTGATCTCTGTGATATTGTTGAGGCTGCAAGTCAAAAGTAGATGGGACCAGGGCTCATTTGGGGAGTGGGTTTCAGAATATAAAGGGGTGAAATCTGGAAAAGCATCTATATAATGTCTATGTTATATATTATACAGTTTGTCCTTGAGTCAGAAAGGCTGATAATACAGAATTGTGTAGGAATTAAAAACCAATACAAGATGCCTTTTTATTTTAATGTGAAGTTTCTCTCTTTCTCTCTGTCTCCATCTCCCCCTCTCCCTCTACTAGAGAAGGGGTTGATCTAAAAGCTAACATTGTATAGAGTAGACCTAGTTTAGAATTTAAGCTGGTAACTTATATAATCATTGATTTATTTGAATTTACTTATAGTAAATTAGACTAAGTCTGGATATAATCTAATATTTGATTTTGTATTAAAATCAAATGCAGATTCTGCATGTGCTTATGATAAATGACTCTAGATATATCCATTTCTAAAACTGATTAAAATGGAACATGAAATCCCCATTCAAGAATGGTTAAGAATATTAGTGCTTTTGATATATAGGTAGAAATGGACAAATCTTGTCAACATTTCACAGTCCTAGGAAATGTGTACTTCGAAGTAATTTTACTGTGTTTTCCTTTTGTTTGAATATCACTTGTTTGACAGCCTTATGAGATGTAAATGACTATCTTGGCAAATACTATCTCTTCTCTTAATTGAATGACCCATTGTGCTTATTAGATTAAAAAAAAATCTTATAACAAATTTAAATTGGAAGATATGTTAGTTCCATTAGGTACTAGGTGAACTCTAGCTACCACTCACTTATTAATAGGGATCTCATTAGCACTGACTGATCCTAAATTACATTTTAAATTAGCTCAGTCTTTCTTGGACAGTACCCAAGAAGCCAAACTCTTCTCTAGCATCTGCTTTGAAAAGAAGGTTTTGGTACTTGAAAAAAATGGCAAATGTCACTCATTCTAAAACACAGATAAGCAACACACAGCCACACCAGAATGGACAGAACCATAATTTCCATTTACAGAGTTTGTTGGGTTATATAAAAGTTAGAATTCTACCTTTTAAAAAAGAAAACTAAACCCATTTTTGAAAGGCCCAGTATAAGTTAAATAAAATAAATTTAATATTTAACATTCAACACCCCTTTTGAAACTTTCCCCTAGTTCTAAAAATTTAAATAATAAAAAAAGCTGGAATGTTTGATTCCGCCCACTCTGGTGATGTCATGACATCACTGGTTCCACATCCCCTGCAACCCCCAGACAGGACATAAAAAGAAAATGTTGCCTATTCTTCTAGAGAAACTGACTAGTAGAGTAGGAGTGTTGTAAATTTTAGAACTATTTACAGAAGTTATAATTGATGCTTTATTTATTGGGGTTCAACATTGTACTAGAGCATGATTTGTTTGTTTGAATTTTTGGGGAAAAAAACCCACAGTGGCTAAGTTCCCGCAATATACTAAGCCATAAAACATGAAGAAAGAGGGTAGTGTAGTGGTTAGAGTGTGACTGGGGAAACCCAGGTTCATGTCTACTCACAAAAACAGATGTTCTCTGGGGAACTTTGGGCCATTCATTCTTTCTCAGCCCAACCTACCTCCCAAGTTTGTGGTTGGAGGGAAAAAGTGGGAGGAGAGAGTGTTATGCATGCTGTCTTAAGCTCCTGAAAGAAAGGCAAGACAAATATCTAATAAACACGTAAGTAAACCAGAATGACTGTATTCACATAACATAATGAGGCAAAATCAAGTTTACTGTATTATGGCTTAGTCATTGCCTAGAGTATGTTACTTGATGATATTTCAACTCTCTGTGCAATTATCAATAACATGAGCTTGTTTTATGTCCAGACTGTAATATGGCCCACTAAAAAGATTATCAAAAAGCATGCTTGTGAGCACTTAGATAATAATGCTACAATTAACAGGAGCTGGACTAGGTTTGTTGCAAACCATTCTCCCAGACCATCTCCTTTGACAGAGTAGGGAAATACTATAGACATAGTGTACCTGGACTTCAGCAAAGCCTTTGACAGAGTGCTTTGTGATATTCCCCTTCATAAAATGGTAAAATATGAGGTAGATTATACCTCTGTTAGATGGACTCATAGTTGGCTAAGTGACAACATCCAAAGTGTGCTCATCAGTTGCCCCACTTCATTTTGGAAGGAAGTATTAAGTGGCGTGCCATAGGCCTCTGTCCTGAGCCCTATGCTGTTCAGTATTTTTATCAGTGACTCGGATGAAGGAATTGAGGGGACATTTATAACATTTGCAGATGACTCACATCTTTTAGATGAAAGGGAGAAGATTCAAAAAGTTCTAGACAGGGTTGAACAGAGGGCTGAAATGAATAGGATGGAATTTCATAAAGAAAAATGTAAAGTTCTGCATCTGTATAGGAAGAATGTAAGGCACAAATATAGGATGGGGGAGACCTGGCTTGGCAGTAGTACATGAGAAGGGGATCTGGGTAGGCTTGATGACTACCAATTAAACATGAGCCAACAGTATAATGCAGCTGGTAAAAAGATAAATGCTATCTTGGGAGTATTAATGGAAGATGAATCCAGATCACAGGGAGTAATTACCCCACTTTATGTTGATCTGGTCAGATCCCACTTGGAATATTGTGTCCACCAAACTAAAAAGAACAGGAACACATTAGGGAGAATTTAGAGGAGGACTATCAAGTTAGTGATAAGTATGGAAACCAGGCCATGTAAGGAATGGTTATAGGATCTGAGTCTGTTTAGACTACAGAAAATATTACCGAGGCAATTATGATTGCAGTCTTCCAATATTACAAGAGTTGTCACCCAGAAGATAGTTTTGTTCATGAAAGGCTGTGGTGAAATATATGTTCCTGCCCCAGGAACATATTGGCTCACTTCAGAATTCATATAAAACCATTGTGAGACTTAGATCATGTATTTCACCTCTTTGTCTTTCATAGGCAAGGGAACAAAACAGAACAAACTTTAGATTGATATTTCACTTACAAGTGACACCCTGCCATTTAATGAACCAGAGGGAGTCAACCTGGTGTCTTTCATCATTCACAGTAGCAAAGGATTGAAACAGATATAGTCAAAAATATCAGAAAGGCAGTTCTCTAAGAAGGAACTGAAAAAAATGGTTGAAAATAAATCTGAACTGAATTAATTGGATGGTACATCATTCATAAATAAATGCTAGCCTTAAAAAAACAAACAAACAACAACAAAACCCTATCTGGAAATGCTCATGAATATCACTGCAAGTGGAATGAGAGGTAGGCATGATAAGCTCCCATAGGCATGATTGGGCTTCTTTATATACTTAGCTGTAATGGCTTCTCAATTTTATTTTTTTTCCTTGAATAGTTAAATAATTTTTCGTGTCCTTTGTTGTCTTTAGGTTGGAAATCTTCCAGTTGATTATATGATAGCTCTTAAATATGTCCGGAAGATGGACTCACTGGTACGTAAAGCTATTTGAATTATTTTCTAACATAAACATACACAGCATCAGTTATTCTTGCTTTTCAATTTTTGGAAATATGAACAGATTGTAAACCTTTTATCCAAAGATTTTTCAAAAGGTCTTTCTTACAAAATTATAGTCTGGCGAGAGATAATTAAATTCCTGTTGGTAAATTAAACTTATCCATTAAAATTCTCGTAAAATTCAGCATGCTGCATTTTAACTGGTTTGTTTCCCATAAGTTTTATTTAATAATAACTTGAAATAAATATTCATTAATGTACAAAGAAACAATACAATTTTTAATTATTTATATATATGTATTAATCAGTTGTGAGGGAAGCAGCCTATGATTCAAACTGTCTAAATTTTTGGTTATATAAAATGATTCATTTTCCCAAGGTATCAAGGTATCACTGGATAAACCAGCTGTTGAAATAGGTGGATCTATGATTTAATTCAACACGAACATTTTAAGATTCTTATGCCTGCATTTTTTCTGTCTTCCAGTGTTCCAAAAATGGAGGTGTGTGGTTACTGACATACCCACAGTATTAATCACGATTTCAATTTTGTTCATCTAATTAAATTGTAAAGCACATAATATTACAAATGGTTTCCTGCCAAGCCTCTAATTTTTCCCGGCCAAAAAGCAGACATATAACTGCAGTGTTTTAAGGTTGTTTCTTTGCTGCTAATTAAAAGCCTAATTAAATCTGCTTGCTAGCAGGGAGAGTAATAATTCCGTATGTGTGTGAGAGAAAGATAGTCATCTTTTCTTCAGTGACTACTCAGAAATATCTTGTGGATACATTTGGATTTATTTACCATAATGTGTTCCGTGGGCAGTGTTCTGTGGGCATTTCAATGATGCTTAGAAGCACCACCATTCCCAACTTTTAGAGAATCATTAAGCAAGATTTTTTTAAGATCCTTTAAGAAAAGGATGTGTAGGACTACAACACTTCATTGAATAACTAGGCAGGAAAGGTTTAATGGGGTAGAGATCTCAGTAATATCAAATCTTACTTTTAAACTGAGTTTGATGTTCATAAATGAAAATTGATTGTCCTGCAATATTAATGGGTTTTGGTACTACGAGGATTCACACAATAGTGTAAGTCAAAATCAGACAAATCTCATTATGATTTAGTGTGATGTATGAACACTCTCTGTGTTAGTAAAATATGTTCACTAGTGATATGAGCCAAGTGTATACATAAATGAAGAGACATTGTTAATGCATAATGTTTTTGATACTTGAATTGTATTCCTGACATTCAACATGAAATATATCTCATTTTAAAATATAGGATAAAGCATAAATATGGATTTGTATTCTGAAAATGTTGCCAAGAAAACTGCATGGACTTGTCCATGTAATCACCAGGAGCCAAGACTCAGAAGTGCATGCATGCATGCCCACGCACGCACACACACACACACACACACACACATTGAGTTAGTATGAACAAGATCATATTATAGATTAAATTATATGAAAGAATAAAGAGGTGAAATGCTAGCAGTGATTTTTAAAAAAAAATTGGTTGACATGAGAATAAAGCAGAAATAGCAGAAATCTGCTGACAATTACAGATCCATGCACATTAATGGCAGTTGAATATTAATTTAACAAAGTGTAAACTAGTGCTGCCCAAAGTTGATTGGGTTGGGGTCATTTATAAATGCTGGTAGGCAGGCAGATAGAAAATAAATAAATAAATAAATAAATAAATAAATAAATAAA